ATCATCATCACCACCACCATCATCATCACCATCATTATCATCTTTATCATCATAACCATCATTGCTATTAATCATCACCATGATGACATTACAAAAAAAAGGAAGTGAAAAGTAGGACAGCTTATTCTGCAGCTTTATCATGATCGCCAAGACCAGGACTCATTAGCAATATCATTCCCTCAAATACATTGAGAATCATATTACACTAGATCACAAACATCTACTACATACCACATATCTACGCACAAGGTCTTCATAGCCTGAAACTAACAGTTCTTCTTGAGGCTCTTCTGGAGCTGATGAAAGTACAACATAATTAGGATTAACAATAAACAACTATAGAACTACGTAGCTTGAGTGTACTAAATTGCTTACAGGTAATTATTCACACACTGACAGATATCTAGTATAGGGAAATGTCAGACCAGACCTTTCCATATCAGACCATGTGTCATTCTTGCTCTTGAGAATAAGATTCTTTGTTTGAGTTGTATCCATATTCATGTGTCTTCTCATGTGCAACCGTTAAACAAAGAAATGATACTCTAGGGAATGACATGTGGTCTTGAGAATAAGATTYGTTCGAGTCGTATCCATATTCATGTGTCTACTCATGTGCAACCATTAAACAAAGAAATGATACGTAAAATGACACATCTGAATATCTAAAATGCAGGGTGTCAAAATAGCGGCCTGCCAATGGCCAAATGACAGGCCAAATTTCAGGTTTGGCAGGCAAAAATAAYGATGCACTGCCAAATGAATGATAAAATGGCATGCAAAATTTTAATTGAATGACCTCCTTTTACTGTGCTACTTTACTATGGCAGGCTTTAAAAAATTCTATTTCGAGCCCTGAATATGGGAAAGATTACATGTACACTCAAGTTACTTTAAGGAGGTCTACTAAAATAACATGTAAACCTACCCATTAGTTGATCATTATCAGGCATGTTGTTTTCAGGGACACTAAAATTGTCATCATCATCACCATAGTCATCATTGCCCTCTGGACCTACTGATGATAATAATATCTAATAAATAAATAAACAAACTTGGATAGACAGATGGATGGACGAGTGGATGGATGGATGGATGGATGGATGG